CGGTCAACCATGAAATAATATGAAAAATTAAGGTTCTATACGAAACTTTCTCTTCTTTTTTTTTTTGGAAAAATCAACGGTGGAGAAGGCCCCCTGCCCATTTTACGGGCATTCTTTGATGACTGAAGCCCAGTTTACAACTATTTCTCTAATTGTTATTCTGACTCTACTTTCTTCTAAGTACCACCCTTCAAAACATCCTCTATTTCTCTCCTTCTATAATTCCCAAAACAATAGCCAACCTCAGGATTCTCCGAAGTATTTTTCTAGTTTTTTGAAGCATAAGGAAATTAAGATAGCCCCATATTTGATTGGTCCTGTTGAGGCAAAGGCTTTGTATATCTATTTGTTGTAGTGCATGATTCCAAATACATATATGTATATATATATTTTAAGGCATGTCCGATAGCTGGAAGTAGTAACTTTCAGAAACTGTACTACTTCTCATATTCGTTGACTGGAAGTGCTATGTTTTTTTGAAAGCCACGGCATCCAAACCATCATTTATATAGATTTTGTTGGATACGGCGCAGCTTCTATAATACCCCATAGAGGCACAGTGGACCATAATAGAGTAAGTTCCTCTGATCTTCCTGTGTTTCTCTACTTTTCAATGTTTTTCCAAATTAATGGTATCTTTATAGTTACCTGAACAGTAAAAAATAGCTCAGTTTCCGAATGGATTTGTCCATCTAGGGATCACATTGGTGGGGATATAGGCCGATACATCTCCATCTTGTGTTTCAATGACGGGTAATGCGGTCGAGCTACACGTACCTGTCTATTCCGATCGTTTAGCGGCTCTTTCTAAGAGACAAGAATTTAATTGAATGAAAGAAATGCTAGGTGGGATCCACTTTTTTCTTTTCTTTTCTTTCCTTTAGGTAGTTTGGAAAGAAACTACTTTTCCTCCATCATCGTTCAAGTTATCAATGGAACAGTGATAACCCACATACATGTTACAATAATCATAAGGATTATATTGTACACTTTTCTTTAATACGATATAAGTCAGGAGATTATATTCTATATAAAATTCTAATATAGGAGTAGTTTTAGGATCCCAAATAATGGAGATGTACTCTCTTCAACTTAGCTACAAATTTAAAAAAAAAATAAATAAATAAATAAATAATAAATAATAATACTAATAATGCTCGATTCATGAGTCCATGAAAAGAACTATGTTTTAACACTAAAAATTGACTGTAATATTTGAATGTTCATATTTAAGAAATTGGGAACTCCAAATTCAAATATTTTTTCTTTAAAACTACTATGGTGATTCTAAGTTGGACTCCAAACTTTCACATCATGAAAATTTTCCTAGCCTTTTACCCAAGGAAGAAGGTTTATAATTAGGCTTGTTAATGGGACCAGGCCGTCCCCCGGACAAGCCCAGTTTTGGGAAGGGTTTGGTTGTAGGTTAAGGCCCGCATCTTGGGCTTGGTAGGCCGGGTTTGGTTGTAGGTTATGGCCCACATCTTGGGCTTGGTAGGCCGGGTTTGGTTGTAGGTTAAGGCCCGCATCTTGGGCTTGGTAGGCCACAAATATTTTCAGGCCAGGTTTGTACTAACATTTGGCCTTCAATATTTTTATAGGGCTTAGCCCAAGTTAGTCAGGTTCAGGCGGGGCCTGGGACTTGTTTAGGGATGGGTGAGGATTGTACAAGGTACCCTCTTTATACTATAGAAGTAAGGCGCTACCTCTAAAAAATTTTAAGAAATATAGTTTCAGCGTCTGAAGCCTTATGATGGTTTGAAAATCTCTTTTTGTCCCTTATTATGAAATTTAAAATTTCAAAAATATTACATAATGAGTAAAAATCTATAAGCACTTAAAAATCTTGAAAGTAAGACGGCTCAAATAACTTGTTGTAAGATGCATTTAAAACTTGAAATTCTTTTTTTTTTCATATCCACAATTCTCGAGGTTGAAATGATCAACTGAAGAGTTTTCAAATGTCAAAACACTTTCTTCTGGATAATTTTTCAAGTGCACTTACTTCAATGGTATAAGGTTGCAGCCTTATATAGTTACATAAAATTTTCCGGGGAGAGAAAAGAATTGATCATCTCTTGGAAGAAATTGTCGTCTTTCATGGTATTACCATTGTTTTTTTCTCTCTTGAAGAGATTTCCTCATTGATTTTTTTATGTGATAAATTTTTCCTTGTATCCCACTTGTTTTAGAAGTTGAATAATTGATAAGAACTTAAACATACAAAATAAATAATTATGTTGAGATCATGCATTGCATGAGCTGTAGACTAGTTCTGGTCAATGGTTTGGTTTTCACAGAGCTGCGGTTTTACCGATATTTTGATAAGACTGCATATCAAAATGCATTAAAAAAATACGTCTCCGCCCAAAACTTTTGTGTGGCTTATAAATGTATTAGAAATGTATATAATGAGATTATTTACTTTTGATACAAAGAGATTACAATTATAATCGACAGTTGGATGTAAAATCAAGTGGTTGAAGATGTGTCATTGATTGGGCGCATAGTCCAAAAATTCCACGCGCATCGGCATCGAAACATCTTCTAGAAAAGTGGTTTCCTTCACCATGGGCAATGATTACGATTACTTCGGCATCACCCTCTCTTTGATTACTGGCATAGATCTTTCTGAAAACCAACTGCAAGGCCATATTCCAATTGAAATGGGGCTTTTGAATATCACCTATCCCTGAGTCTTTTGAACAGTTACGGCAAATCGAAGTCTTGGATCTTTGGAATAACAAGCTCGAGGGAAGAATACCACCTCAACTGGTCCTTCTATACTCATTCCCTAATTCCTCTGTTGCAAATAACAATCTATCTGGAGTTGTTCCTTATGGATTTCAATTCTCAACCGGTAGTGAGAGCTTTTCTCATGGGAACCCTGGATCATATGGGTTCGAAACCTTACTCAGCTACTCTTCCTCCAAGTGAACTTAATGAGCATGAAGAAGGTGATTCCTTATGGGAGAAAGACAAACTCGTGTTATATGCTTGCATTGCAGTGTGTTTTATTGCTGGTTTTTTTAGGGTCTTTGCATTATCTAGATTGCTCATTTTCAAAATTTTCAAGTGCTTATTGCTAGATTTGTACTATTTTCGAAGCTTTCAATTTTATTATAGGGGTGAAAATAAACTTTTAGGCCATGAGTTTTGGCTCTAAAAATACATATTTTAATGAGATTTTGAGGTGCACCTTATCGTGATTGTTGAAGGTTGGCACCTTACACAAACATCACCCTATCATGAATACCTAAAAATTTAAATAAAAAATCCATATTTAAGATCAATTTTAAAGGGGAGACACATGTGTACATATAAGTCAGCTGATTAATTGAAACCCATCCATTAAATTATTTTTCTACTAGGGAGGATTTCACCACTCATACTGAGTCCTCTCTCTCTCTCTCTCACTCATGTTAATGAATGGGTTTACCAGCGTTCTCACCAATATGCAAGTTGATGGTCACATGCCTGAGATCAAATACGAAAGAGGAGAAAAATTTTACGAGAAAGAAAGTAATATTATGGAGAAGCTTGAACTCCCAATGGTGTACTTCTATATTTAGTTTCAAATTTAAAAAATTACTCTGACTTTTTAAATGATGATTGAATTTAAAATAGACTTAAAAATATAAATATGCCCTTTTAAAATTTTCAAACAAGTTGTTAATGCAATTTGAGAAACTCATCAAAATATGCCTAACTTTCCAAGAATTTAAGAGCTTACCCATTTTCATCTATTGCAACCATGTGTATTATTTTTATGGGTATTTTGTGATTAAATTAAGAGATATGGATGAACAATAAAATAGTTGATCTCTTGCGTGTATTTTGATAAGGGTGCAGGTTGTATAGGGCCGAGGCTCTAAACAATCAAAGTAAAGTGCACCTTCAAATAGTGTTGGAGAAATATGGTTTCAATACTGTAAATCTTTGTGATAGCCTTAAAATATATTTTCATCTTTAATTATAAAATTTAAAGCTTCAAAAATAGTGTAGAGTGAGTAGATCTATGAAAACTTTAAAATCTTGAAAATTGACGGTCAAAATATGCGTTACAAGATGCAGTATTTCCAAAACTTTAAATCCATTTTTTTCTCATGTCCATGTATCTTGATGTCAAGATGATTAATTTGAGGATATTTGGGCATCAAAACAACCACTTCTAATGAAATTTTTGTAGTAGACTCTAATTTGGGCTCTATATAAACGTTTTCCTTTTGATAAACTTTTTCCTTTTGATAAACTTCTCATGTAATCTTTATATTTGAATTGGCATTTTAGAGACTATTTGAATTGGCATTTTAGACACAAGACTTTTGGAGTAAAAAATTCTAAATTCACCGATGTGCTTAAATTGAATCTAAACTGTCTAACCTATATTGTAGCACAAGCCGGCCATCTCATATTAATTTTTCCCATATATGACAGCTACCAAAGTTCTAGAATAACTTCAGCTATGCTTTCAATCATCCAATCTTGAACGGAGGGCGGAGAGCACCTGGCACTACTTTATTTTCATTTATTTGCTTACAATTAATTTTGAGCATTTCTTACAAGGGTGCATCTAATAAAAATATAAAAAAAAAATATTTCTAATAGAAAATGAATAAAACCCCATGCAAGGGACATTTTTGTTAATTTATTTTTTAAAAAATACTTTTATTTTTATTAGGTGCAGCCATATCAGCTATCGGGGAGTCCCACATTCATGTGAAAATAATTTATAGTAATAAAGATAAAAATAAAATATGATATATACTCCGAGCAATCCAATTAAGATCATACTACTCGAAAGCTAACCTAAGCTAATGTCACTGCTAGTTTGCAACCAAATTTAGCCTTTTCTTTCTTTACTCTTAATCAGAATTTCTTTTTTTTAAAAAAAAAAAGAAAGAAAAAAGCTGAGCCAGCTCGAAACCGGCGGGATGCTGGTCCAAGTCTAGGAGCCCCCTGTTTTGCCCGTTCGTGCTGATTCTCAAGATTTTTTTTTGTTTTTTTTTTTAAATAATACCATACCAGCATGCTTTATCTGTATACATTATGTCATGTAAATTTACAAAACATGATATCTGTCACTAGCTTCATTTACCGAGTACAGAATAACTAGTAACTCCACTAGAAGAAAAAGAAGAATAACCTCTACTTTTCCCCCTCAAGGAAAGGGAGCTGATACTCCTATCCATGGTTTCAAAACACAGAGTCCTCCATTTCATGTTCAGAAAGAAAAATGCCAAGACCCCCCAAAAACCAACAATAAAACCCATTGCAATGACAGCATATAACACAAGATTGTCTTTCTCCCATATTGAATCTTCTTCTTCATCCTCATTGACTTCACTTGGAGGAAGAGTGGTCGAGCAAGGTTTTCCCATAAACCCACATAATCCAGGATTTCCATGATAGGAGCTCTCACTAAAGGTTGAGAATTGAAATCCATTAGGAACAACCCCAGATAGATTGTTATTTGCAACAGAGAAAGTAGAGAGTGAGTATAGGAGGACTAGTTGGGGTGGTATTCTTCCCTCAAGCTTGTTATTCGAAAGATCCAAGACTTCGATTCGTCGTAACTGATCAAAGGATGCAGGGATGGATCCTGTGAGGTGATTGTTTGAGATGTTCAAAACAATTAAGCCTTTCAAAAGCCCCAGTTCAGTTGGAATATGGCCTTGCAGTTGGTTTTGAGAAAGATCTATGCCAGTCATCAAAGAGAGGGTGAGGCCGAAGTAATCATAATTGTTACCCTTGGTGAAGGAGACTACTTCCCTATAAGATGTTTCGGTGCCGATACGTGTGGAATTTAGGGACTCTAATGATGGCCCACTGTTTTGTACCCAAGAAGAGATATTTTGGAAACAGGGAGGTATGGATTCTCGAAGGTTGTTCCTCGAGAGATCTAAGATGGTTAGCCTCTTCACCATGCACATAACTGGAAGCCCATCTTCGAAACGGTTTTCTCTTAAGATCAACACCTGCAAATTGGATAGTTCTTCTAGCTCGACAGGGATGGAACCAGAGAAGTTGTTATTTCTAATGTTTAGGACCTTTAGAGATGGAATACGCAGAAATAGATTCTTCGGTATGGTTCCACTAAAAGAATTGCCATCAAGACGTAACGATTCCAATTGCAACAGATTAAAGTTCTCAGATAGCAATGGTCCAGTCAAGTGGTTATTGGATAGCCATAGAGCCCTCAATCGATTTCCATATGTTATACTAGCAGGCAAATTTCCTGTGACTTGGTTGTTTGTTAAATCTAGAAACAACAAATTAAGGCTCAGTTCAAGGGGTAGATTACCTGAGATCTTATTCACTGACAAGTCTAGCATATCCAAACCCTGGAACGCGTGAAGGTAAGAAGCTACATTTCCAGTGAGCACATTTCCGGACACGTTTATCTCGGACAAATGGGGGAAAAAGGAGTGATACTCTTTAGGTAGTTCTCCACTCAATCTGTTGTTAGAGAGATCCAATTTCAAAAGATCAGTAGGGGTGGGAGGTAATACAAGTTGACCTGTGAACATATTTCCATGTAAATAGAGCCAATTGTGTGAGGCTCCCAGCACCCAAGGGGGAATGGAACCAGATAAGTTGGAGTACGCAAGGAGGAGTTTGCTTAGGGTTTTTTGGTTTGATAGGAAACCAGGAACACTAAGGTCATATTTGGACATGTCAGAGTAAGATAAATCTAGCTCAACAAGCTGAAAGGCAGGAGTATCATTAGTCTGCAAAATGACCAACTTATTGTTATGGGAGAGGTTCACAATTGTGAGGTTAGGATGGTTAGCAAGCATTGAGAATGAAAAATTACCGGAGAAATCGTTTCGAGATAAGTTTAAGTGCTCGAGATAGCGAAGCTTATCGAAAATGGGTGGGATGGTTCCTTCGAGTTGGTTGTCCTCTAAATCAAGATCCTTCAAAAGGGAAAGATTAGCAAAAGACAGAGGGATGGTTCCTTGAAGTTGGTTTGTGGAGAGAGAAAGAAACTGGAGTGATGATATGTTGCCTAAGGACTCTGGAAGCCTCCCCTGCAACTGATTATTCGATAGATTGAGATGCCTCAGGGACAAGAGTTGATCGATCTCTTCGGGAATTTTGCCCTCGAACGAATTCTTGGACAAGTCCAACCAATATAAATGCTTCAGGCTCGAAATCTCTACAATCACAAGTTCACAACAAAGAAAATTAAGGAAAAAAAAAAATAGAATGAGTTGTCTCTATTTGAACTAAAAAAAAGCTCAAAACACTAAACTTTTTGAGGTTCAAGCTCTTTGTATATTGGTTAGGAGAGCTTAAGGGCCATTACAGAGCATAACACCATGGCGTAAGGCTTGAATCCAAACTTGCCTAAACAAAAGAGACAACATGAAAAGCAAAGGCTGACCCCGATCAGCCTGATTCGGCAATTCCAGGGGGTTTTCATCCCGGAATCACCTGGCCCGTGATCAGTCCGAAACTCAGAACCACACGGGCCACGAGTCGGACCGGCCAATTTTTAAACACTGATCTTATGGTCTCACCTTCGACGGGCAGCTCGCCACCTAACTTGTTATTGCTCAAGACCAGGTATTGCAATTGCTCAAGTGGAGTTAACAGATTTGCATCAAAATTTTCGCTCTGTAAGTTGGCATTGGACCGAAGTGAACTCAAGTTGAGACCAACCACATGATATGTTGTGTTGTGGCACTCTACCCCTTCCCAGTCACAACAATTGAGCCCCTTCCATGAATCCAAATCTTCAACTCCTTCTATGGTCTCATTAGGGGGAAAGAAGGAAGCTTTTAGTCCCAAGAGTGCCTCTCTCTCACTTCCATTGCATGAAGTAGAGTCAGATGCCATGGAAAGGTGCAAAATTAAAGCTAGAGTGAGAAACATGACGAGCCATGGGCGTCTAAACAAGGATATGCTGCTGAAAGTTGCAGCCATGGCGCAGATCATGTGATTTTTCAAATGACCATTTCCTACCACGAGCCGCCCTTACCGGTCTCTTAAAGAAAAAAAAAACAACACGCTCTCTCTCTCATCTTGGAAGTGAAAATGCTTTCCCTACACGCGTTTCCTCTCCTCTCCTCTGTTTGCCATGAAAGTCAAAAGGAAAATAGAGCTAGAAGACTATTCTCCCATAATGTACATGTACTCTGTCTATGAGAAAACGTATGTAGTTTGATTTTTTTTCAAACATAGTACTTTGGTTTAGAAATCCGTTCTCATTGTGCTTTATTAAAGGTCGTAATCTCGGTGAGGACATAAATCTTTTATATTTTTATCACTACTTTCAATTATGTCTTTTTTTTAGATTTATTTTTTATTTTTTTTAAACCTTCCACTTGAACTAACTAGCTCCTCTAATATTGCGTTACATATGGCGAGCCCACCTAAGTCTACTCTCTTATCTTGTCGACTATTAATGTCGTGCCTAAATTTTCTCGAATATTTCGAGAACCGACTAGAATTCACTTGATCAATATTCTTGAAAAAAACATTATAATTTTTGTGTTTTCTATAACTCAAATCTCACCCTCTATAACTCAAATCTCACCCTCTAAAACTTGGACAGTCTTTATTCAATATTCAAATGTTATTTTTTAAGTATATAGAGGGTACAATTAAGATTTTTTTTATTGAAGTTAATATATGGATTGAAGAGGTTAAATCTCCAAATTTTGAGTACTCAAAATTAATCCAATATAGAGTTTTACCCAAGGGAGTAGAAAGATAGTGTACTCGCTCAAGAACACTCTCGAAAAAAATAAACAATCTCTCCTTGCATGGCAAAAAAATCTCTATATTCATAACTGGGTGGGTGGGGACTTTCTCTCGTCTTGAAAGTAGAAAAAAGTCACTCTCTCTCTCTCTCTCTACAAACATGGGTTCTAAGAAGAAGAGGGGAATCTATTTTTCTTCGAGTGGGCCTTGAATATGTTTCATTTAACCTATGAGGCAACTGTATTATTTCTTTAGGGCTCAAATTTCCTTGTCGCCATTATTGAACCAAACTAATCACATGTACATCAGATAGAAATGCAGGCATTTTAATAAATCTATTTTTTAGATAGATTTTAAGACTTAATTTTTAAAAACATTTACTGTCTAACATGGAGATCATGAATATAAATAAATAAATAAATTTTAAAAATTAAAAATAATAATTCTATTAAAAAGATATTTGGGCTGTTAGCTTTCATTGTTTTTAGATGTAACACCTACTTGTATCCATTTTTAAAATGGATGCTTTACACGTTTTGGACCTTATACATAGAAATGCAATCCAACCTGCATGAAACAATTTTCATAAAATCATAAAAATTAATGGACCACAATTCAGGTGGGTATAGACTATGGACCGGCCGGTGTAAAGCTCATAGAAAACCATTGGTTTAAGGAGTTATAATAATAGAAGGTGATCCGTGAGCCAAGGTAATCAATGGTGGAGCATTATTGGGAACCGGCTGTACCCATGAGCCAATGGGAACCCATATGACTTGCAAGTTGCAACTAGTCCCTACAGTTTATTAGTTTAATCCCTAAAATTATGTGGCTGACTATAAATAGCAAGCCATGTAATTATAATTAGGAAAAAGCTTATATGACGTTGGAACCTTAAAATCTTGAATTAAGGTGTATCTCAAAAATCCATCATAAAAGGCTATGTTGATGTTAGAAAATCTTTTAATTGATCATCTTGGCATCGAGATATATGATAAGAACAAATATTTCGAGTGTGCAAAATAATATATCTTGCAACACATTATCTGAACCATCTATATTCAAGATTTTCACATGTTTATAAATCTACTGGATTTGGATAATTTTTGGCGTTTAAACTTTTACAGTTAGAGATGAAAATGTGTTCTCAAGCCAAAAAATTTTATACCAAAATTATATTTATGAAAAATTTTGGAGGCGCACCTTAATATGAGTGTTTAAGGTTGCAACCTTATGCAAATCACACCCATATAATTATAGTGCACTATAATTAGTGATTATAACACTAGTGTAGTTATACAATTACCGGCACTGAAATGCCTTGGGTTGTTTATGGAGCAATAAGTTGGGCATGCATTAGTGGCTAGTTCTTAAAGGATTTTATTATGTGTAGGTCGGAACTTATCCGACAAAGAATTTTGCTACCTTAGGACCGTTACAATTACAGCTTTCCTTTGTAGATTTCATGCTGCCAAATTTCAATTGGAGCCAATTTATGGTTTAGGAGTTATGGAGTTGAAAAAATTTCTTTCGGAGCCAATTTATGGTTTAAGAGTTATGGAGTGATCTTCAAGGAGTGCCACTCTGGGGTATGCAAATTTCAGGAACATTGTACCATGTTGTGTGAGGTTTTTCTATTATAGATCAGCAATGGGATAATTGTCTAAACTAGTCCGGTTTCATAAAAACAAAATTTGAGAGAAAAAACTCCAAACACATTGGGAGAGATGATCATTTTATCATAGAGTGCCCATTCTGAATTTTCTGCAATACAGTCTGGGGTCATAAGCCGACCACAACTAGTTAGGAAAAGGATTCGATGATGATGACATTCTGACTCTTGAAACACCAGCTGGTAACCCCCTATGACCATTTGTAGTTTCAGGGAGAAAAGATCTCATGGGGGTATGTTACATATTTAGAGAGTCATGGTCTTTTGATTCAGAGGTACTCGATCCCAAATTACAAAAAGTTTTGAAGGATGTGCCCTATGTTGATTGAAGAAGCGTGGCTTGCTCCCTCATGGGCTTACACCACAGGGCTTTTGCTGCTCAACTCTGGGAGCCATTTGGATTTTTTTTCATTAGTGGGAGGATCAAGGGTTCCCCACAAAGAAGATTCAAGAGGATTTAGTCACGCCACTAATTCTAATACCAAAACCTTACTCTCACCTCGTTGAAAAATGTATAATGCAATGCAAGTGCGAGGAAAGTATGGGGTAAAAAACAAACCAACGAATGCAAACACGAACGGGTTTACGTGGGGTAAAAAACAAACCAACGAAAGTGTTTGCGTGTTAGTGCAACAGCTTTCGTGCTAGAGTAGCCATTGCTTGTTGGAAAAAAACAGATGCTTGTTAGTGCAACGGTTTTTGTGCTAGGCTAGCCGTTGCTTGTTGCAATAAGACGGATGCACATTAGCGCAACAGCTTTCGTGCTAGGCTAGCAGATAGCAAAACCTCTCATTCACACACAAAGTATTATTCATACAGAAACTATGCTTTTGGCTAAATTTTTAGTCGAAATAAACCACACAAACAAACAAAGCTTCATAAACAAAACCATGCTCTTGACTGAATTTTCAGTCGATGTAAACCATGCTTCACACCGAGATAGCCGTCCATATTGTCTCATTTCCAACAAAAAAACAAACATCAGTGTTAAAAATAACGCCACTCACACCCATACCTATCCCCAAACAAGGCCCTCATTATTTATTGCCATGGATCAGCAAACTGAAAAACTTCCCACCAAAATCTCTCTCTCTCTCTCTCTCTCTCTCTTCTTCTTCTTCTCGTACTCTCTCACGTACGATCG